TGCTTCTTAACACACACAGTTAGTTAAAATATCTAGAAAGAGTGTCGCTTACGGTCGGTTGACGAATACCACTGGCGTCCGCATCACTTTAAACGTTTTCTTAATAACGCTTCCATTCTTTCTTTCAAAAACTGGTTCGATTGCACTACAAACGGGTAATATAATAGTTTAAATATTGATAATACTAGTAACTCTAAATGAGCAGGAATAATAAACTACCCATATACCGCCAAACCACAACTTGTCCTTAGCGCTTTAAAAAACTAGTTAAATACCAATAGTTATAAGACTAATAAATTACAAAATTTTCAAAACTCTTTAAAATTCGGGCCGACTAAAGAAAAAGCAGCATCACCGTATATGTCTTGGTATTAAAGCTGCTCTAAATAAGCGGGAATAGCTTTTATTATTCATTCAAAAATATTTCTCCGTTTCTCGAAAGACCCGGAAACCTTTCGGCCCCGAAGGCACATTTTTAAAATGAAAACCTGTTGAATAGTGGCACAGTTCCTAGCCCGCAAACCATTCAGTTTTATTTCGTTAGCCGATAGTTTCATTGTATTATTTTCAAAATTATTGGAACTTTGGTCTTGAATGAAAAGACAACAAATTCAAAACAGTTTTCCGGGTCCGAAAAGTTACCGGGACTTTCTAGAAACAGGCTCCTGATTGGCTAAAATCCCACTCATAATTTCATAACCAGCCACTGTCGACCAAATGTGGAAGAATTTTGCGATATGTGAACTGGTGACGTCAATCGTACAGCAAAATTGCCAGATTATTGAAGACCTGAGGACAAGGTTGAGTTGTTTGGGTAGTTTTAAAATACAAAATAGCGGAACATTTCACTCTTTCACGAGGAAAAAGTAGGCGAACTATTGGCGAAAAACATAGCAAGAACAGCAAGAAGAAAAAAACAAAATAATCTGCTATTTGGAGAATATTTGCAGCGAACAACCCTTTATCTCCTAAACTTGCCGATAAACATGCACTATCGAAGATGAACTAAAAAAAAAATAAGCGAACTATTGGCGAAAAACATAGCAAGAACAGCAAGAAGACAAAAAAAACACAATCTGCTATTTGGAGAATATTTGCAGCGAACAACCCTTTATCTCCTAAACTTGCCGATAAAGATGAACTCAACATCGACGGAGGTAAGCATGTTTTAGCTTGTCCTTAAACTACGAATTGTTCTGAATGAATAATAAAACAATTATTGAAATCGGCTTTCGTATCATCTGAAGAATTATGAAGATCTCGGAGGGTGTTATCTGCCGAGGCCGCAACACCCTCCTCGATTCAATAACTGCTAATTATAGCTCAACGAAAATGTTCATTAAAAAATAAATCATGAAGAAAAATGCCGTGTTGAAAGCTGGAGTTCTTTTTCAGCTACACGGCACTGTTGTTCATAATTTATTTTTTAAATGAACATTTTCGTTACTTCAGTTTTCTAAAGTGCTGCGCAGCTTAACGGAATTTTTCCGTCATTTGTTTAATTGTAGCTCAGCATATCCGTTGTATAAGATGGTGCTAGGCCACAGAGTCCCTATTTAAAAATTCAAAAACTCATTAATAATTCATAAAGAAAAAACAAAAGAAATTGATGTTCAATGAGTGTCTTCCTTAATATCTGACAAAGACACCGCTAAACTTTACGTCCATTTTGTAGGCCAAAATAACCCCAAATCTAAATATTAGTGCAAGAATGAGTTGATCTATATCAGAGATTTTGAAGCCGTTCAAAAAACTTCATGTGTAAGATGTCATTTTGTGAAATTTGACATTTATTTTCTCGGGCTCTCATAAGAAATTTTCTTTGGTGTTATTACAGATAACTAATTAGATTTATAGCTCTTTAAAAAATGTAAAAGAGAATGCGATATTGTTTAAATTATTCTGGTACAAGGTTTTTCTCCACTGAAAATTAAAATGACTCAATTTCCTGGTGGATTCCGTCTTAACGTACTTCTTAAACGAACTGGGAAGATTTGCATAACTAATATGTTCATTTAAAGAAAGAGGCATGCGTCAAAGATGACACCCAGGTCCTTTGCAAATGAAGCCGGCTGTATTTGCTCCTCAAAAAAGTCCACGTAGTCCTGGTGGCCTAGCATGGAACTTGATGCTGACAACAAGGAAATCTGATTTAGTTTTAGGCCATTGTGAACCATCCAGGCGTTAATGTCCTTGACGCTCCCCTCAACTTTTCATTGAGCCACATTGAGCTCTGGATTCCAATCTGCCCTAAATATAAAGCTGGGAGTAATCAGTATACAGAAGGTATTAGACACCATGGTACTGGATAATCTAGGCAATGGGTGATGCGTACAAAAAATAAAGGAGGGGTCCTAAAACGGATTGTCGAGGAACACCATGATCTAAACTGCGAGAAAATTATTTTTATAAGTGACAGTGCATAGTATTCAAAGTTTCTGTGGCCATACCCTTTATACTGAGACTCCAAAAGAGGTACGAAAATGGTCACTTGACTTGAGCCTGTCGAACTCGGAACTTGCCTAGGGAAAAAACAAAAACAGTATATAGTTTTCGATCCGCTTAATTCAAAAGCCACACAGTCCGGGCTAGAAAAAAATGTCTGTTTTGTTCTGTGCTTCTCTATGCATGTTTATAGAGGTCAAGACCTTACCTCTCTTCTTTTAAAAACTGTGTGTGTCTCCTATGTGTGAAAATACTTTTCATACGTTTCGCCTTGATCCAACAAGGTTTATGTTTTTGTCTGTTTTTATAATTGAGGGGAAATTGTAACCAAAAATTTATAAAAAAAACTAAGTCATCGCATTGTACTTGCTGAAAAACAGCACCTCAGTTTATTGTAACACGATTATACTCCCCCACTATACTCTCACTACTTTGTCGGTAATCGACAAGAAAGTCAAGAAGGCACACAATTCGGACATCAGTTCTTATAGCCTCGCCTATAAGTTCTGCCAGGAATATGTAAACAATTTGAAACTCCTTTTGAGACCAAAATTTATATTATACTTTGGAGACAACAGCAAACAACCTAACCCGTAAAACTTGGGTTCAGAATTTATGCATGACATAACTTTTGCTACTCTCTAAGGACTCCGCAACTTGTCATTAGTTCTTAGTTGCTCAAGGTCAAGGTCTTACATGCACTTTGTGAAGGTTGTCATCTTTGGCGTAATTGTGCATACAAAGGATGGGATGACAACCTTTGCGATGAAAAGTAAAGAAACAAATCCTTTTTTGTGTATTGTTCTTAACGTACGACGTTAAAAGGTTCCAAAGTTAAACTAATTAAAACAAAAACGCAATTTTCAGATAACTCTGAAATTATGGTTAGTGTTCTTTTCACAAATGGCAATAAGACCATTCCGAGGAGAACTTGTCAAATCGGTCAACTGACTCCCAATATTCAACACACTTAACTGCTGCCCAGATCTTACGTTGAAACAGTCGGAGACATGTAACACTTGGTGGCTCAGAGGTTTGAACAACACATTCGTCGTTACTGACAAAAACACTTCGGTCAGCTTCCCCTTTCCATAACGTCTGAAGTGTACTTCCGGAATAAGCATCCAGTAAATAAACACCATGTCCTTGCTCCACCCCAGAAATGACGAAAAACTGGTCGTCGGGAGAAAACGAAAATCTTTCACAAATGAAGTTACGGTATCCAGAACGAGGCCAGTATTTTTTCCAGATAACCGTTTTGCCTTGTAACAAGACAATCGGCCTAATATCTCCAATAATTGCCAGTTATATTTAAAATCAATAATTAAATGGGGGATGTTTTTATATCCTCAAGTTATCCTGACTGGATGTCAACTTTGCCCCTGTTTATCATACCTGTAGGATCCTTGAGCAAAACACTAGCATCTGCTTCTTTGAGTGAAAAGGCTTTAACAAGAGCACACAGACATGGCACTTTACCATGATCTAGTGTTTGCTGAATAGCCTACAGGATTGAATGAATATTCTTGTTCAGTTATAATTTTATGAAGCCTATTAAGTACATCTAATGTAGGAAATGTCCAATGTGAATCTGTCCGTGTGCATGTCCATACATACATGTACAATGTGTAAGTAATGAACATGGTTGTCCACGTGAGACTGTCCTGAAAAAACCCTTCTTAACAGATACTGGCATTTTGTGCTGTCATGACTAAAAAAATGTGTCTGTAGATCTAATTATGTAACTCTGTTATTGTGAAACTGTAATAACAGAAGCCTAGTTCAGTCAAAAGTATACAGTTTACAGCAGGCATTTGGCTGCTGGTTTATTTCATTATACATATATCAGAGGGTACAGTAAAACCCTGCGTATAAGAACCTGGATTTTTTAATTTAGCCTTAACAGGTTCTTATATAAATGGTACTTAAAGCAGATTTAGAATACCAAGGTTCTCAAAATAGGTTCTTATATTTTCATATGAATTTCATTTATATATGTTATGGTTCAATTTTATCTTTGGTTTAAATTTAAATTTCTTTTGTTTCAGACTCATTATCATATATTACCATCCCCAAAACAAAAGGAAATAAAATTTAAACCAAGGATAAAATTGAACCACAACATATATATTATAAATGTCATCTCATAATACAATATAAATCATTTATACCATACAGCAATGTCTTAAGGCAGTACAGTGCAGGTATGTCCTTAACAAACCATAACAAACAAACTCATAGTCAGTTCTCTGAAATGCCATTTCAAAGTTGATACCAAGAAAATCTTGGGACAAATACCGTACATTCATAACCAGTTCCACTGATAAGAACCTAACTTAAGATTTTAGCCTTAATAGGTTCTTATGTGGAGGGGGCTTAAAATGAAAATTTTAGCCTAACAGGTTCTTAAAACCCAGGTTCTTTTACACAGGGTTTTACTGTACCACAAAGTGAGAGCTAACAGTAAATGCATTGGTACCAGTCCTGTAGATGTATAAACATACAAAATAATTATTGTACCTCTGAATGTGCTCTGATTATGGTATACCTCATTG